ATGTGCTGTTTGTATGCTTACCTGTGGCCAAGAGGGATCATCTTCCGGTGGGTAGGCAATGAAATGACGCAGCGTAAAACCGAAACCTTGATTCGGACGTCGTCGAATTACAACGACTTTTGGCTGTATGGCGGTACTATTGGTGTCTTGCAACATTTTATGATGTTTTTTTTTTTTGTTTTGCGGCAAATGCGGCGGCTATACAATTGAGTGTGGTAATTCTTCTTGCCTTTCTTACTGTTATATTCAATGTAGTGTGTTGTTTATGTACATGTATGTATGTTTGAATGTTTGTTTATGTGGCAGCAATACTATGTTGCGAGTGTTACGCTGATGGTCACTGTCTTAACGTCACTTCTATGGTATTATTATGACGATGGACGTTGGCGAAGTCACAAAGTCGAAGTCGAAGTCGAAGGCTACGGCGTCCGCGTTGGCGATGTGTAAGTGAAATAAGGTTGATTATAGTATTTAGTAATGGTGAGATGGCAATGTTTTTATGTTATTGTTTGTAGTTAGTTTTTGCTTTTTGTTGTTGTGCTGTTCCTGTTGCTGTTGCTTTAGGACAGTTGACAACATGCGCTTGATGCGTTCGTTCTCAAAATGTCCCCATTTGTGCTTACATTTACATTTGCGCTATAAATGGTAATTTAAACTTTATCGTTTTGGGGTGTTTTACTTCTGTTGTTTTGCGTTTTTGTTTTTGCTTTTCACGCTTCTTTACAGTTTTAGCTTTTTTTTTGTTGTTGCCAGGTTTTTTTGTTTTTTTGTTTTTTTGTTTTTTTGTTTTTTTGTTTTTTTGTTTTTCCTCTTCGCCTACTGTTTCCTTGCTTTTCACTAGCGGATTATGCGGTCTGATCCGGGGGTTTTGTGCGTCATTCAATAACACTTACAACCTTCATTGGGATTCCCTAGTCCTGCGCTTTAGTATAACATTTCGTTTGGCGTTGGTTTCCTTTTTCATATAAGGCTTCTTTCTGCCCATTCATGCAAGACTTCAAACTCTTCCACTTTGCGTTTCGATTTTCTTTAAGCCATGCTGAATGTATATTACATTGTTCCTGTTCCGCTTTCAATGTTTACTGTCATTCGACGCTTTGTTATGATGCATTTACGTACGTGTGCTATCTACATTATCTGCAATAAAATAAGAGAGAAAAAAAAAACAACGATAAATAACCAGGTTTAGCTGTCTGTCCGATAATTAACTTAGTAGTCGGAAGAAAGGCTCAAATGCAAAGAGAGAGAGTGAGTGAGTATACCAATTAGCTAAATTGCCAATGGCCAGTAATAATGCTTTGACTGGGATATCTAGCGCATATGGGTAATAAAAGCTAAAACACTATAAAAAAAAGGAAAGAAAAAGAAAATTACCGCCTAAACCTAATTTACGATCGAAAACTTAAATCTGATTTCCGGTACAAGAAACTTAAGAAATCATAAAAATTACACAAAGCTGCACCTTCATTGGCGCGCTTGAAACGAATAGATTATTTCCGCAAACAAAGCTCAGCGGTAGAAGAGGAATAATAATAATAGCAACTCGCTTTAATTTTACTTTAATAACTTCAACACAAAATCTGATAAATTTTTAATCCGAATTCGCAAAGCCACCATTCTTCACTGTTACCGCGACGTCAGATTTTGCAAAATGATCTATTAAGCGAAAATCGTTAAATAAGTAATTAAAAAAAATATATATATAATCACAAATCATAATAACAAATCATATTTATCCTCTGTTGAATAAGCGTGTATCAATAAGCTCAGCGCTGCTGTTGTCGTAAACAATAAATAGTGGAAAAACTAAACATTTGCAACCAGTAGCCAATACAGTAAGCGAAACTTAAATGCAACTCCAACAAAAACGGCTACACCACACTTGTGTACGTATCTGCATATGTATTGGCCAATAATCGCAGCATACGCGTGTCCGACAGTTCGCCATTTGAAAGGCGACTTTTATGAAAAATGTTGTAAAATTCAATTAAAGCAGTGCCTGCTGCTGTGACGTTGCCGTGATGCGATTATTACAGCAAAATGCATTGTAAATAAAGGTACAGTGACAGTGAAAGGTACAGGCAAGCGTTCGCAAGGTGATTTTTTTTTTAATTATTCATAATTAGAGTATTCACAAGGCATGATTAAAATGGTAAATTTTTTTTTAATAAATCTACTGGAAATATCAAAGTACTTCCTTAGGAAAAGTTTAATGATTTTTTTTGCGAGCTTTAATTAACTTACATCAAGGTGGTGTGTTAGGGTAATAAGAATTGAGATCTAGTGAATAAGTACTATGTAGAATGGGGTACTTGACATCAATGAACTTTGAAACAAAAAAAAAATTCTCCTCGAGACAAAAACACTGATATATGTATCTTACATTAGGATCCGACTGTAGATGTCGATATAACGAAAATTTGAATTAGGACTCCATGTTGAAATTATATTATATATACACAGGCGACATTTTTTGAATTTTTCTTTTTGAATCAGACATGCTCGTAGAGTATTATTAAAAATAATTTTATTTTTTTCATTCAAGAGATTTTTTATATCGATTTTTTTAATATAAAGTTTATGAATATACATTTTTTCAATATATATTTTTTTCAACATCGGATTTTCCGATATCGGCACTGTTCAGCGCGATATATCGCCATGTATATTTTACATGCAACTGATTTTATTATTTATTTAACTCAATTTAGCGGACTAACTCATCTTTCATATTGCATTGCCATCGGATTCTGGGCCAGGTTTGAACTTTCAACCCTCTAGCTCATCGAAAAGTTGGTGTTACGTGGTTACATAATGTTTGTTGGAGGAACACAACTAGGCGAAAATGAACGGTTAGTCCATTAGTGGTTTATGGACGGTGATTTGAAAAAAAAAAAATGAAAATGGACGGTTAGTCGATTGAGGTAAATCGACTATTTTTAAACAAAGTTTGCTCTTCGATTAATCAATTAGTCGAATTGATCTACCCAAAAATTTCCAAAAATTTACATTAAAGACTTTGAAATTTTAGTGAAAATATTTTTTTAAAGTTCGCATAATGTTTGAAACTTGTATTTATGTTTTTTTTTTTGGTTATATACATATAGAATAAACAAAAATTTTATTAAAAATTTACAAAAAAAAATTCAACTCGAAAAACATTGTAAATATTAAAAAAAACATGTGAACGCTTGTTTGAGTCACTGTTTAATTTATGCATTTGTGAATGTACGTGTGCTGGTGGTCACTGACCCACTGTCTACCAGCCGGACAATTCATCACTAACGCCACCATCTGGAAGATCTGAGCATTTGTTGTGTGTGCGCGGCGCGCAGCATTCGTGTTATTTTGCGCCAGCGCACAGGCACTCGTCCGGTTTGGTTAATCTCATTCAAAGGCGTTTAGGTGTGATTTAACTGGCCTCAACGGACATCAAATCGAAAGCGTTAATAGAGTTAAACACATTCAAATAAAGTTAAAGCGACAAAAAGCTATTAAAATATGTTTTTTTTTTATTTGCTGTAATTAAAATTAGCTATAAAATTTTATTTATTTATATTTGCAAGCCCAGCGAAAATCAAAGTGAGATTTTTCACAGATTTAATATTTTAAAACATACGAATAAATTATGTGAGTACATACTTATTTTCATATTTTAGGAATAATTGACGTATATCGGTTGTAAAATTCATCGGGCCAGCTAGTCCTCCGACCTTATTTTGAGCGAAAGCTAAGTGAAATTAAACTAATCTTCATAAATCCATAAAAACCCGTTATTGACAGTAATTAGATAAGGACCAATAAATAAAAACTACATGTGTAGATCAGATTATGCTAACTTGGAGATATCAGTAAAAATAAGAGTAAAAACAATATCAGACAAAGTTTGAAAGCGAATCTCTTAATAGCCCAAATTAGCTATGGCCAATAGAGCTAAAATGTTTTGAAGCAAATATAGTAGTTGTCAATGTCTCGTGATGAAAAAAACACGCTAGTCGGTTACAAAGTTGAATACTTTCAGGTATGGAGCGTTTGTGTCCATTCGTACGACATGCCCAGCGGAGTGGCAATATTTAATTCGCTGCACTATGTAAGCATATGTCGTTATAAAGCTCATACCGCTCATCCTTCCATCGTCTGCAGTCTTCGCTGTCGCCAACGCGCAAAGTAAATCTTCAAGGGCCCCTTCAGACCGTCAACTCTAGCAGCTTCGTTGTTTTTCAGCCGCAAAATTGTCTTCCGTACCTCGTCATGGTGGAGCGGTGGGATATAGCTTCCGTCGTCCTCTACCAAGGGCTCTGATTCATCTTCTTAACTGCGTTCAGTGCTGTTACCTCCATAAATAACAATAATAGTTCTGGACATCAGAAACAAAGTTGCCGTGGTGATTCTTGCATGAATTCTCAAAGGTCTTATCGCACAGCATTTCAAGCACTCCATTCTCACTTATTTCGGCCTTTTTAATGCCGGTGCGTCGTACCAATTGTTATTTCACGCTCGTTGAAATCCAACTACCTTTTCATTGGTGGTTTGTAATGGGCAGGAAATATGGTCCCACTGCACGCCTATGTCGTATCGTGTCGGTGGCATCACTAGTAATGCGCCCTAAACTGCAGAGACAAGCTTAGCGGTTCATCTATCTATCAAAACTGAGACTTCTAAAAAAAACTCCTTCATCTATGCAGAGGATCTGCAAACTTTCATTGGGGTATTCACAGACCACTAATCCCTCGCTGTCCCCGCAGCATATAGTAAAATATTTTGGCCACAAACGTCTATAGCTTTTGTGAGCTGGATGACGTAAGCCCAGAACATGTTCTTTGTGAACGTTTGTCTTTCGCTAAACGCACACTCGCCCGCATGGGTGGAACGACACAAATTGAAACATTTTTACGAATTGGATATAGACAATTGACTCAGAGAAAAATTGTTATTAGCGACCAACAATACATTTACTATCAACTAATTTTATTAATCTGCTCAGTCATTTTTGTCAGTGTAATTTTTTTTGCACGTTGGCCAAAGGCAAACGCTTTTATACGATTTACCAGCGTAAAAAAACACGCACTGCCATAGTAGCTAATTCTATGCTAGTTGCTATCCTATTTAGGTCACTGTCATTACCCAACTAGGAGACAATAAAAATATTTAAAAACAATTAACGTGGAAGTTATGGCCAACTCAGCGCCGCATAGTGTTCTATTTTGGAAAAAATTGACAAAATATCGAGAACGAGAAGAGATAGCGAAATAAAATAACGCTTTCGATATGGCGTATTCAGGAAAAATACACTCGTTAGATAGAATAATTGCCTTGATGAGCTTTAAAATGGCCTTCGAAAATAGAATTTAAATTTTTCTTGTTTTGGTCTGAAAACAGTATGCATGGAACTTATAAAAATGTTTTATACGCATATTTTTGCTGGTATTGCGTAAAGAGATGCATTTCCATGGTCGCAAAAACCACAAACGCAGCTCACATTTTTTTATTTAAAGTTCATTGCATGCTGTTGTTAGGTAAAAAAAAATCAAAAATTCAAAAATTTTACTTTTGAAGATCGGTTTTGAGCCGAAGGAAATTTTTTACTCATTACCAGTTTCTGATTCTTAAATCAATTTAAAATTTTATCAGACTGTTAAAATTTAAAGTGACAAACTTTCCAAATAAAATTGTGTAATTTTAGATTTTAAAAGGCTGATTAATTTTAAATTGATTGGTGCAACTGAGCA